TTTTGAATTTTTTGTACAGTCTTAATTAGGTACCTATTTATATAAAGTACGTGTAACATGCCACATTCTACTAACAATCTAAAATCTTTCTATCTTTTAAAATAATATCATATATTGTGTTTATTTCAGTATTTTACTACATATTTTTTTGGGTGGAGAGTTCATCATACTATTGATTAAAAAAACCTGGGGTATAGCCCCTGTACACCCCCGACTATAATTATTGGAAATATTTGACGTACAAATACAATTTATTAATTATAATAATTACACAATTTACATTTGGTATATATTTTATATCTGTTAAGCGAAAAGAATAGCTGACACACGCACATAATAATGTATCTGTGGAAAAATACTTGTATTAATACATAACATTGTTGGGTCCTATTAATATTATTTTCACAGAATAATAATAATTATTACCTATTTTTATTAGTATATTACCATATGTTTAATAGATGTATCAACACGTCTTTTAGTTTGTGCTTATATCACCAATTATAAAATATTAATAGGTACAGCTGTACCACATAATAGGAACATTCTGCATAATTTTTATTAGGTTTGATTTGAAAATCACAGTAAAAATTATATTTCCTCGGTACTTTCTAGGTGGGGACTTGATTTGAGGGACTTCGGCATAGTTTTACACTGTCCTCCAAGCCCCCCTAATTTGCACCAATAAAGTTGATGCATAATTACATGAACATTTTAACTTAGTTAAATATTATTTGAAATGTAAACATCAATACTTCAGAAAAACATTTTGCATCGGACTATGGTATTAAACATATGTCTAAATTTGCACTTCATCCTCACCTCTGCGAAAAACAACAAGTCGTCAACCATTGTTGTATGTTGTATTATTGTTTGTGATATGTATTAATAATGTACAGTATTATATTATATTATTTTATATGTTTATATTAAATAATATTCATCTGTTAAATTCCTTCTCGAAATAACAATGACTCTATATAATAATTAGGTATACTAGCTAATTATACATATTTGGATTTTGTAGATTTTTGCAGGTAGGTTATACTATAGCCGCTATAGTATGTACGTACCGAAAATCGGCGGGTTGTATTGTCATTTGTTGTCGTAGCTATGGGTGCGACTTTGGTATTGTTACCACACATCGAAATTATTGGCCGACGACACAACGTGAATTTAATGATTTGTTTCTTTTATTTATTTTGTTGTTGCGGTGTTCATTCCGACGGCGTCTGGTTTCTTGAACTCTACATGCTCCGCCGAAGTTTATTATGACTATAATAATGCACATAATATGACGTACACTTAGCTATAATAACAGTTGATACCTAGGTAGGTATATGGTATTTATTCGTGTACGCATAACATTATACTACGCTTGTTATTTGTTAATTATTATTATTGCCATTTACATTGTCTTCCGTTGTAATATTACTATGCAGGTATTATAGATACTCCCAGTGTTTGCCCACCGTATTATATTGTTTTTATTTTTATTATAACAACACTGCACAATACCCACACGGCCACACGGTGCACAGTATGTCGTTCAACTGGAGCGCTAATGCATTATCCGAGCGTGTGAGTTATTCGCACGTACGTGTATTTCTGTGCAGCATCGTCGAACTATGATAATATTGACGTCGTGAACTGAATGATTAAAATTTGTTTATTTGACCTTAATTAAACAAATTTAAAGGTTGATAGACAATCATTTAAAATAATTCCGCAATGGTCCACAATAGTGACTAGGTACTCGAATTTCGGGTGTACCTACAATCTATTTCGGTCGTACGATTTTAACAGAAGAAAAAAAAATATTCTATAGTTTCGTTATATATAGAAAAAAATATTCTCTTGGTAATCATTAAATTATTATCATACATTATGCCTAATATTATATTAATTTTTTTTTAAGATTGCCAAACTTTATTACATTGCAAAAAGGTTATGGCCAGTATGGCTGAATGTGACATAAGTTCCGCCCAAAGCCAGGATAATATTCTGCCGCTTCTATATACTTGGAGATATTTTCAGTAACATTAAAATTGCATTACTCATGTAAATGATGTAATTAAAAGCAATGGATTGTTTTATACTTTTAAACGATTATTGCTTTGTTGGTTTGTTTCGAATAATATAGTTCTATTTAAACTCTAAAGAATATTATATCTTTGGCATATTTAATGTGACTCACACAATCTATAGAAGATAATATTTTATGCATTTTCTTATAATTTTAAAGTCCGATTTTATGATGACGTTTCACACGAATACATTAAAAATTAAAATGTATTAATTTATAAGTCAATAGTTCTTAAAAAATGATTAAGATTTGACTTTTAGTATTTTATATTGAGCGAATTGTTTTTCGGTTGAAAATCTCGTCAAGAGATTAATATGCAATATTTACTTATATTAAATATACGTATAATCTGTGTTTGAAAATAAGGACACCTATTTATAGGTTTGTAATTGCGTTGTTGCAGAAAATGAATAATTTAAAAATATTCACTCACACCAAAATATAATAGTTATATGGGCGATACATTATATTATTATATTGTAGGTATATAAATTATTCCAGGGTGCAATCTGCGTTTATGTTGAATCGAAAATTATACAAAACGGCAAACATGACTCAATCATGTTTCTGTATAGGTATACATATAATATAAGAAGTATAATGTGTATAGTAAAACGTATACGTTTACAAACTATTTAATTATAAACACATAATAATATATTATGTAGGTACGTACAGTTTGAACCTGCAGAGTCGCACATTCATCATCGCCACCTAATAAACTCCGAACTAATTAATATTTAATACACCATCGAGTTGCTTATCGTACCTATACTGAATGTTTCAAAGTGTCCTTACATAGGTCTTACAGCTATCGCTCTCAAGTTGATTCTGTGTATGGAAATAATAATCACAAAGTCTTGTTACTCGGCGTTGATGTCGTTTACGCCATATTTTTTCGCACACACCTCGGCGTTTTTTCCCCAGTGATTTTATAATATTTTGTATAATAATAAAGTTGTTGTTCGAATTAGGATTTATATGATTGCGTGTGACGGCGGTACACGAGTGCACTTGAATTTCGTTGGTCCGTATATTATGTATAGGTAGAATAATATATTGTATTATTATGTTGTACAACCACGAAACCTATTTCAGCGCTCGTTTTTCGAATATTTATATTCGATTGTCACCGTCAGAATATGTGTTTTTGATTTTATTAAAACCATCTTACCTTATATATAGGAGCATGTACCATTATAATATGACGTGTTATAGCCGTGCTCCAGTGCTCAGTTCTATGACTAAGATTTACGTATATATATATTATATCGTCTCTTTTTTCTTATATAGTTATTAGTGTTTTATATACTTAAGTAAAGTAATAAGTAATATTACTTTAACATAGTAAGATAATAATATAACATAGTACTACATGATATATGAATTGAACGTCATGTGAAGTTTGAAAGTCTTACATAATGTCTCTGGCAGTCCGGCACAGTCTGTATTGGTTTATTAGTCGATGCATACAAGTTTCTTATGAGTACGAGTTAATGTTTGTAAAAAATTTGTTATTTCGATTTTTTAAAATTCTATTCATTGGGCGTCGGTATAAAAAGATCCTAAAATCGTCATATCATTATAATACCTATAAGGTTTGTGCATCCAACATGTTGGGTCCAATCGATAGCAACAAATATATCATATTATATGTTATGATCCATATAGGCACGAGCAGTGAGCACAGTGTGTGCAGTATGATGAGGAGCGGTGTGGACGTGTGGTGTAGTTTTGTGCCTCTGAAAACTTCTCTGCTATACTATATGCATCTATATGTGTACAGTACTTATTTGGGTGTCCTAACTGCTAAGTACGTCTACTTACCTCGTCATTGAGTATATCGCTGCAACGAGTAGCATATTAAATTTGAATTTAATGGTAAATCATATTGCATACAATGATAAACGATTCCGGGTATATGAAATTATGAACTGTCTAACTTTTTGTTCACCATAATATTATGGTTACCTAACAATTATATTAACAATAATATTTAAATTTTTACAATTAATGTTCGTTTATTTTAATCACCGATTATCTGAAAAATGTTTACCATTGACTCACCAAGGTACAAACTAGATATAATTTGTTACCAAAAACCGTCCTCGAGGTTGATAATTGGAGTAGTTTTTTTGCTAGAAAAATGATCTTTAGAAATTAAATAAACATACATCATAAAATGAATATATTTATCGCCCAGCTCAGAATCTAAAATATTAAATATAATATATATTTGTATATACATTTTAAACTAAAAAAAGTCGAGAATGACTGCTAAAATTATTCTGTAAATCAAAGGAAAAAATTCTGCGATTACAATATATTATAAGTATATAACATACTGATTTGTTGGTTTGATTTGTTGATAGCACATATAAAAATTATTGCTATATAGTATATGATACAAATCAAAAAATTAATGACATTGTTATTAATTCATATCACGATGGGGGTGCTGGAAACATTATACTACCCCTACAATTTCATTTTTCAATTTCAAATCTTTAGAGCAAAAAAATATTTTTGTTAATGGTATCTGCACAACAACAAATTATTTCATTTGTACTTTTGAAGATTGATCGTCATTACATATTTACATCAGCCGCAATTTAGGTAAATTTCGATATTTTGAACTATGAAACAGGAGACAATAATAATATCATGTAATATGATGTTTCGCGATAAACGTTGACAACACCCCTATGGGCTATAGGTCGTACGTCATAATATATTACTTAGGCATATTATATTACTTGTACAGGTTTGTACCAATAACCAACTGAACCAACCGATTACGAGCGCGCACCCGAATCGTCTGCGGCGGCACACCGACGTGCATCGACCGGTGCCGCGCTCTAACGGCCGTTTTTGGTGGATGGCGGCGCGGGGACCGGCACCGGGTCAGTCCCGCCGACGACGTTATCGGTCCAGCAGTCAGTCGTTGTCTGTTCGGCTAACCGTCGTGTCGTCGTGTCCGCTCTCGCGTCGTCGTCTCGTCCGTTAAGTTATCGACGTGTTTCGTAATAAATAATATAAATAATTATATTATTATAATAAGTGACCCCATACCGCCTCCGCCGGATCGCAACGCATAATATAATCTGTACATTTTCCGATAGTAACAGTCGTCGGTAGCGAAAAAAATTGTGATAATATCGCCCGGTTTCGTCTTTCGGTCGTTTAACGCGGTGAAATAGGATTTTCAAAAAGTTTTATTGTCGACCACCCGCCATCACCTCCGAAAACCATGACCGTTTCCCGCGGATTGCTGGCTCGCGCAGCCGTCGCCCTGTCTCCTGTTCTGCTGCTCCTGCTCCTGTTCCGCGGAACGACCGCGGCGGCGGTACAGGACTTGGTGTTTGCCGACGAGGACTTGATGAAAGCTTCGCCACTCACAGTGGCCCAATGCCGTGCCGGATGTTTGCACAAGGTCAGTGATGTTATATATTGTGATAATAATATTTTTTTCACCTGTATGAGATGACAACTCATTTTCCGGCGCCACCTCCTGCATTTTCTTGATGTACGGTACCTATATCGTCGTAAAAAAGTAAAAATGCAATAAGCTATTTTTTTGCAAATCGGTTAAGAACAACATTATGAAATAATATTATGTTGTTTTAAATAGTGGTAAAGTTTGAACTCTTTGATGGTGGGCTTCCTCAAACGATACGCGATAACCGTCAAGGGTTGTTAACCGTCGAATACGCTTTTGATGGATTGTGTCTCCTAATAACGTTGTGCATGCATATGCACAATTTTTCAGGGAAATTAATAATTATTGCAATTTGGAATGTCATACGATTACTTTAGTTTGCTTATATTCGAATTATTAGGTATGTTGTGTGAGTAAAAAAAATAGAATTAGTATTTTAACTAAAAATTTAGGTGTTGTCGAGACACAATTGCGACAAACGTGTGATAGGAATCTATCTAAATATAGCTTTTACATTTCGATTTTAAATTACGATTTACGATTTCAATGTTGAGGTTGTGTGTCACGGTAATCGGTATTCAGTTGCCGGGTAAAAAGTGTTCTTAAACTTTCAAGGGGGTCATTCGGTGTAATTGCATGTTTGTAATATAATCGTATTTAGCTAGGTCGTATATTAAGTATAACCCTGCAGTATACGAATTAAAAAGTAAATACTTATACTTTATACGATATACCATAAGTTTGCAGCTTTTGAATCATTTGATGGGTAAAATAATAAAGTGTGGTTAACGATAAAAAAAAATCAAGTTAAAAATATATATAGTACCTATATTTTACAGAATTTCAATTTTTAACAAAGCTCTCTATGTTTTAATTGAGATAGAACATCCATTTTTATAGTTTTGAATTTCGTAAGTTCAATTAATATTGGCTTGTATACTGATTTCCGATTAATAGACCACAGAAATCTTGTTTATATTATTGAGTATTGACTGTCAAAATTTGATTTGATTTTTTTATTCGTAAATTTATTGTAATATAAATTATATTATGTAAACATTAATCATATCTGTAAAACGTACATATTGTAATAATTTATATGTTTTTAATATAAGTTTTTTTTTAATCAAAAATTCCAACAGTCTTGCTCAAGAGAATAATCCGACGTAATACTACGATTAGGTATTATTTTCGAATCCTTAATTTTATTCTTGTCGCGTATCGTATTTTAACGTTTCATTCAAACACCTCACAGTAACCACAGGGAACAAAAAAGACATGTCTAATCGATTCACAATAATCACGTATTCGTTCATTATGCATGACAATTTGACTAATTTTCGGTATTTATAAAAAAGTCGTTTTGGACTTAAGATTAGAAGCTTAGTGGGCCCATTTTCATTATTCGTTTGACGTTTTATTAACTCGTAATTGTTTTGGATTATTTAAAATCTGTCTCTATATATTAGGTACTTCGTTACAATACAATAATATTAAATATACTGACGTTAATGATAAAACACGAAATATAGAGTTTTTTTGAACGCATAAAATATACCTATAATACTATTATAATACATTATAGAAACGTCGTAACTATGACTACGTGCATGAACTTTAATATAACATGTGAATAATAATAATTTTTTCCCGCGTGATGACTGCGTTGGCAAATATAAATACAATTAATTGAGCAGCGGTGGCGGAGGTATTTATTCGTTTCACATGATGTTCACACGTTTCTAACAAACCAATGAAAAATTATGCGAGTGAAAAAACGTATTTGGTATTATTAGAATTTTAGATGTGGTATTAACGTACTGTTTTATAAAGTGTCTGTAGTAGGTTGCAGCAGTAGTATAGAAGTAGTACCTATAGTAGTACCTAGTAGTACCTATTAGTACTAAATACTATAACTACTAATAATAGCAATAGTCGCGAGCAAAGATTTTATCTCGCTTTATATATAATATAATTTTTAACACCTATATACAGTGCCTTGTATATAGTTGCATATATAGTATTGCGGTTGGTGTCAGACATAAAAACTGCGTTTAATGACTGTCGGGATTTTAGCTTATTTCGAGGAACGCATATGGCCTCGGATCTTTAATTATCAAAATTCGAACAAGAAACGTTTTGTTTTTTTACCTAACTATGTTACTATACTATATAAGCCAATGTTTGAATCTTGAAAGCTCCCGCTGTAGCGTCTGCTGCGGTACATCTGTTCAGCGAGCATGTAATATAATTATACATTTATAAATGTATTGTCCTGAATTTTAAATTGTTGTATGATATCATTCAATTGCCAATTTCCCAGCACATAATATATTCGTTGAACATAATAATTTTTCATAAATTCGTAATATTATTAGGCCACCCTAAAAGTTCATTAATTATTGTTGTCTGATGATTTGTAGCCTACATATATATATATGTTATAAGTGTAGTTCAACAATCCAACTATAAAAGCCTCATGGTACCAAAATAGCTTTTGTCGCGTTTATGTTAGATACTCAGAACACTTATCATAGTTATTACTTGTAATAGGTAGATCGACGGATTTTTATTTCAGCTAGTGATATAAGTTTCGTTAAAATTAAAAAACGAAACGTTAAGTCTTAATCATCGCGTATAACCTATTTTGTATCGATCCCGTTTTAAACTCTGCAATGAATATGACGTAGGTATATAGACGATTTTCGTGTACTTTAATTATATATATGCATATCATGTACATAATATTACACTCAATCTATGTATATTTTTTTATAATAATCGAATTAATCTTGTTTGTCGGTCGGTCATATGACACTGGTTGGTGACGCGTTTTGAAAAAAAAAAATTAAACTACGACGATGACAAAATCTTGGTTCTCGATCGTCATCATAATAATAATATACTTGTACAGATATATAATGAGATACGCTGCAGGTTCCCGCCCGCTCGTTGCACCCGAGAAAAATTACACTTGCGACTCGTTGGCACCTACGCGTGGGTCCGTAAAATAAAAAGCTTTATCGGTGTATGAGTTTCTCTCTCCCACTATCTCTTTCTATCTTTATCTCTCTCTCGCTCTCTCTCTCTCTCTCTCTTTCTGTCACTTTCCTTCTCTCTTTCTCTGCCACCCACCCGTAATCGTTTGATTTTTCTTCCTCGTCGTTAAAAAGGCCCGTTGCAGGTGCTCGTAATGAATACAATATAATACGACGAGCATAATTAACGCGCTCTACCGCGCATATTCATCTCCAGCCCCGTATTTTACCTGTCGTACCTGTTTGCAAGTATTCCCGTGTGCGTGTGTACTTATCTCGGACGCCCGTCAACCACCCATAATGGATTATATACGGGCGCGATTCACTTCTGAGTCGTTTTGTGGCCACGCGCGTGTCTTATGGATCGTAGTCGTAGTCGGTGACCGGGTATAGGGTATAATAATATAGTGTAATGAATCAATTTACATGCACGATGACGATGGACGCGACCGTTCCGGGATTCTTAGAATACTCTGGAATAACGCCGCTCCTACATGGTTTATTATTATTATTATTATTATTATTATTGTTTTTTTTTCATAATTTTTACGACGCGCAGAGAGAAGATGTCGCGTCGCCCCGAAACCGCCGTACCTATATAATCGACTCTATTGTCATAAAAACTCGGTTAATCATAATATTTTGTTGGTGCTTTATAGTTATAGTTACCTACACATAAATCCACTAAACATCGTACAGTTTTATTTTATTATATTTTGGGAATTTATGTATAGTATTATATCATAATATATTAGTGTGGTTTGAGGCGTTCAACCGTTGATTCAAATTTTTTTCTTCGTATTCGACATGTTGTTTTATTTTACGATATTTATGTAGATATCTTACCTATCATCCATCTAATAAAACCCCAATAGTATACTTTCGTCCACATAAAATATACTCTGTCACAGGATAAATCTATCGCCTATATAATAATAACGTATATATACGTATTGCCTATTTCGTTTACTATATATAGTATATACCTATATTTATTTTGTATATAGAGGAAATTTTTATTTTTAAGTACCCTCACAAATCAAAATATGTGTATAAACAAGTGCTTAAAAAACTGATTGACGTAATAAATAATATACTTTGTCTGTAATCGGGGTTAAAAAGCTTTGGGCGATTTTTGGTATCAATATAAATAAATTATACCGACATAATGTTATCAAAAATTATTCAGAGCTGCCAGAAACTGTGGATTATAATAATATAACGCTCGAGTATGTGAGTGTACATGTTTGGACCCAATAATTTCGTTTTACGAAAAAGAATATCCCAAGGAAACCCACGCCGGCGCAGTATATTACATGTATACGGAATGGATTTTTGTGTGTGGACACTGTTGTAGTAAACGAAGAGTAATAAATCAGTTGGTTTTTTTTTGTCCGTGTGTGCATGTGTTGGGGAAACGTTTTTTTGTTTATTTTTTTTTTACTTTTCCTCTGCGTGCGTCAAAATTTGATTAACGTTTATCGGAGATAATGATACGACGCGGGCGCGGGACGACGAGGGCTCTTGCCAATAAATTACCGTGTACGGCACGCGGACGAAGAGGAAGAGAACGCCGTCGTGGTGTTTTACGATCCGACGACGATTACGCGAGTTTCGGTCGGCCACGCGATATAATGTTTTTCCGATCACCTATAACCCCGCGCTTCAGTGAAAACAGCCGCGACTCGGAGGTCCTCTCGCAGCATCTGGTCGTGCGCACGCGGTATAAACATGTTTATAATAATATTATATATAATATAATACGATATATAAAATATAATAATATGTACGATGTATTTATATATTATACGCCGCGCAAGAAATAATTAAGCGCCCAGCGTCGTCGTATATTATTATTATATTTAGGCCCTGTGGTGCGGGTTATAGCAACGTGCATATTATAATATTATAATACGCTCCGTAAACGGATCGAAAACTACCTATACCTAATGTGTT